GTTCGTTCGGTCGAGCCGTTGAGTGTGGAGCGGTACGCGTTGTCGACTGCCGCCCGCCCGCCTGCCCGCCTGCCCGCCAGCCCGCCAGCCTGCCTGCCCGATCGTCCGCGCTCCCGGCCGATCCAGTAACCAAACCCGCCCGCCGCATGATGCAACCTGCGCGCAGCTGGGTCCTGCCACACAGCGCGTGTGTATTCAGTATAGCTGCTGCGCGCCACGACTGTGACCTGCGTTTATTCTGTGACCTGCGCCCCTACTGCCTCTTTCTGTTCCTCTCTTTGTCACTCACTAGCTGTCACATCCTCGCTATCATTTTTGCACTATTTGCAGCCGATCGTCACAATTTCCAGGATCGGCCCGCAGCAGTGTATGTTTATTTCAGTGCCTTTCTGTTTTTCTACCGTCGGGCCTAATCTGAGGCTGTCTGCAGACTTAAAATACGCGCAAGCAAAAACCGACGATGGGTGGCAACGGAAACTCGTCGCAGCTCAACTGTGTCACAGGTGGGCGTCAACTCACGCTCCCGCGTGTTGCTGACGTTCGTGCAGCACGAAGGCAGTCGCATAGCTGTGGCACCCGCTTCCGGCCCTCAGGCATGGCGGTGTGTCCACAGAATTTCTCAGCGATGAATACAACTCAGCTGTAACTTGCTGTGTAACTCAACCACGGCGCTTTCATTCCGCTGTATATGACTGATGCATCGTTCAGTTTGTTTCTCTTTTACGTCTATCACTTAATCGTTGTCAGGCTTGGAAAATTTCAGTGAATACAAAACCACGTACAACCTTGCTTCCGTCGTGATTAATGAACAGAAACAATATGCCGATGGACATGTTTAGTCCCCCGGTTTGTCGTAACCCACCGCCCCTACATATTTCGTCGCGTCGATCATTTTCATTTTGTACCGTTTATTTTAAAAACTGTCACTTGACAGTCAGGCGAAATACCAAAAATGTAAAGCATTATACATGATTATGCATATCCAGTCCAATGACCATACGGCGTTATTTTCTGAGCAAAAATATGGACGTCGGTCCTCATCTTTCTCCTTATATCCGTTAAACCTTTACCGGTATAAACATCAGGTTTCTTCCGTATGCCACAGTACATTAAATGGCGCGTAACTTCTCCAAGACCAGATTTCCCGGCGTATTTTATCCCCCCTATAGGCGAGTTTAAACAGGTTGCAGCTCTGATATTTGAGCACCTGTGCTATCAGATAGGTTTCGCTTCATTTTGCACGCTAGAGCTCATTATGAAAGATGCTTTAGGAGCTGGCACTTCGTATATACTGCTGTGTAAACAAAAAAATATTTTCTAAACAAGGAGGCCATGAAATCTTGTCTTGGAAGAGTTATGCGCCATTTAATGTACTCCGAAAAGATTT